CCTATTGACTGACAGAGGTTCGATATGACTCTATCTAGGGCGACAGTTCTAAAGTTCTCTATATGCATGGTTTCGGCTTTAATAGAAGAGGTACTCGAATTGTCCTTGATGTTGGTACCCCCTTGGGCTTCCAACCCTCAATCATAACCCATTACAGGCGTAAACGAATCGAGTTCAATTCAAGGGGATCCACTTCCTTATACCCATACGAGGAATAAATACCTACAAAGATAAAAGGCATGTATCTCCCAGAGGTTACTTGCTAAAACTCATACGAAGAATAAATTCTTACGAGAGTAAAGCGTTCACCCCACTTAATTGGAATGAAGCTTGGGTCTAGAGCTTATGTTATGAAAATGTCCGTGATGTGTGTGAGGAGAAACAAACAAACCTTTGACTCAAAAACAAAAAAGAACCAAAAATAAACTCTCAATAAGAACTTTGATAGAGCTAAAAAAACAAATAAAATGTTAGAATAAAAATAAAAAATTTTAAAAAAATCAATAAATAGATCATAGCTTAACTAAAGACTCGAACTTATAATTTCCACCATAACGACCATATATAAGTGATTAACAACCTGACTCTCTAAAGTCCCAGTAGAGTCGCCAAGTTATCATAACCATTTTTTAGAAAACAATTAAGTTTTAAAAAAACAATTATGACTTTATTTTGGAAAATTGGGAGGTTTTGTAATCATTTGAATTAATTTGAATGGGAGTCACCATCGACCTTTGGGTTAGGTATGTCGAATACCTAAAAACGTCTTTTTAAAACAATTTTAAGAAAAATCTTTTTTTAGACAAAAAAATTGTCTATGCTCTCAGAAACAATTTTAGGGGTCCGGAAGTCGGTTACGCGTGGGGAAGGATAAGCACCCCTCAACGCCAAAAATTGGTACTTAGCTGCTTATACATCGTCGTAATGGTGGAACTTAAAATTCGAATCAAAAGTAAAATTACGATCTATGTATTGAATATTAATTAAATTAAAAGAAAATACTTTAATTTATAAGAAATCCCGAGATTTGCAATCCTCCATCAGGAAAGTTGTCTCACCTATTTCTTAACCATAAAGAATATTTTATCTTCGAATTACAAAAAAAATTGACATAGAATAAAATCATGCTTCAGTTGTCTTAAATATACATCATTAATACTAACATTTAAATATAACAAAATGAAAATAAAATTAAAGCATTCAACATTATAAAAAAATAAAATAATGAATAAATAAATAAATAAAATATAATGATTTTAATATACTCATATAAAAAGTATTCGTGTTTTCAACGTCGTATCATATTGCACCACTTCAATCAAATGGTACTTTCCACACCCATTCTACAAATAATGTTCTTGAAAATAATTTCGAGTGTATATATATTAGGGAAACCATGAATATTAATCGAATTAAAACGTAACTAAGATTAAAAACAACATAATAAATTAATTAAAATTTATTATAATCATAAGTACCTATTAAGTAATATATATATGACATAATAATAATTCATAAAAAAACAAAAATGAAATACAAATAACATAAACATATCACAAGGATCAAAAGAATAAATATGTATAATTAGCAAAGGGTTTAGACAAAACTCAAACAAAACAATAGGGGCCAAACAGGCAAATAAACCAATTTAAATCTAAATAGTGACTAAAAATACATCAGGAAAACATTATGGACCAAGTATGTAAATTACCATTTTTTTAAATAAAGGACTAAAAAATAAGGAAAGAGTATTTAACCCAAAATACAGAAGCAGTGATTAAAAGGTAAGTTTTATAAATGCAGAGGATAATGTTTAAATTTACAAAATATTAACAATACACCACAAGTGACCAAGATACAAGATTTACAAATGTGAGGCATGAAATATAAAGCGGTTAAACTACAACAAATGATTATAACAGAAAGTTACAAAAACTCGAGGCCCCATTACATAATTTACCCACGCGCTGAACTTACATCATAGCCCCTATCCAAACGGTGTCTTTGGACTTTAAATATAAGGCCAAATGAAAGGCCTTAGTTCGGTGAGACTCCTCACTTTCTCATTTCCTTCTCTCTCTTCAAGAACTAGAGAGAAAAATGCTCTCGTTTTTCTCCTCTGTCTTTATCCCTCCGTCCTCCACCGAGGGTGGAAGCCCCAACTCCCCAGCCACCGTAGGTCGGTGGCCACGGGGAGCAAAACATGTCAAACAACTTTCTCTTCTACCTATTATCTCTCATTCTTTTCTAAAACAGCCCCCAACACACTTAAAACCCGAAACCCACCATTTCTTGCACCTTAACAAACCCTAGAAAAGGGTAAGATTTTACCTTCAGGGATGGGTCTGTTTAACTCCGATGTGGTCTTTACGGTCAGATCTACAAGGTAAGGTTCCTTTCTTACTTTCTCTTCTCTTTTTCTAGTTATACCCCGTTTCTTTTCTCTCTGGTTTTCTGAACTCTGTGTTTTTTGGTAATCTCTCTCTGTCTTTTTTTTTCTTCCGAAAACTCCCTCTCTCTTTTAAAAAAACCCCCTCCCCTCTATGTATGCTGGCTGATTTGATGACTTCAGTTCCCGAAACATAGGGTATAAGTGCCCTATTATGGTCTTCTTGACATGGTAGATATCCTCAGGATATTTATGGATTTGTTTCTATTTTTTTATTTGTTGTTAGACTGATATGTGTCTTTTATTTACTGTTGACATTGATCCCCTTTCACTGTAGGATGATGGTGGCGTCAGAGGTGGTCGAAGGCGGGAGCAACAACATGCATTGGAGGCAGTAGCAGTTGTCTAGGGTTAGGGTTTCAACAACCCTAAATGGCCAATAACTTGGACCATTGATTTGGGTCCAGAACAGTGGACGAGATTGAGTGGCACTGAATTAAGGTGAAAACCCTATCATCGGGGCGATCTGGATCGTTGATTGGGTCCAGATCCATCGGCTTGTGTTGGATGCGGCGCTAAGAATTATCACCAGAAACCCTAATGTGTTTAGGATTTTAGGTTCTAGGTCGGGTTGGATACGGGCTCCGGGTCTTGCACTTGGTTGTTGGGCTTGTTGGGCTTCGTCTGGGTTGGTCTTGTAACTGTCTTGGGCTCCAAGTTGGGTTCCATGTTTTGTAATTGGGTTGGGTCTGAAGGTTGGGGCCTGCACAAAAATGTAAATTAACATTAATAATAATAATAATAATAATAATAATAATAATAATAATAATTATTATTATTATTATTATATAATTTACACCCGGACAAAAATGGGTGTCTACAAATGGTTTAGAGAGTTATTTAATCATGGTGCAATGTGATGTTGAATGCTTTGTTTAGTTTTGATTTTATGTATGGAATATGGATAATCTTCTGTTGTAACATTGCCTTGGGGAGACAATGTGTTAGTTTTAGGCTTTTACATCGAAAGAGAAGGAACATCCTTTAGCTGAACCATATTGTAAACCTTAGATATTACCAAAAATAGTGGTCAGTAACTGTAATTTAGGATCATTGTTGGAGTAATGCTTGCTTGTGCTTGGAACTAGGTCAAGTACTAAAGATTATATCTAATTTGTAATTGACACTTCGACTTGTATCTTTAATTCTTTGTGCTCGATGTTCTTGTGTTTGAATGAACTCATGATATGCTAATGGTTTATATAAATGCTACATCATTCAATTGAGTTTTATTTTATAAATTGAGTCTTAAACTCATCACAAAATAGGTATTATACCATTGCTGAAATTTACAGGACAAGTTTAACCCATTTCTTACTCCAGGTTTCTTTCTCATTTCCATCTTCTTGTACAAGTTGAATGATTCTATTAATGCAAAGGGAAAAATTCTTGTTTTGTTTCTATACATTTGGTTTTAGAAACTAATAATATTTGGGGTTTTGACTTGAATTAGCCATGTTTAAACCCTAGAAAAATCACACCTTTAATCTCAATTTATGAACTTTGCAACATCAAGATTTTAATTGCTTTTTAACATTCTGGTGAGACTACTTGGTTGTATTTGTTTATTAATCTTAATCATTTGATAATGAGTCCATATGTCATATGGACAAACTGGTGGAATCCGAGTCTTCTAGAATAACCATAATTCCTTTTCCTACAAACAAGTTTTGAACTTTGGAATCTTTAAACGAAATGGCTTTGCTTTTTTATGTTTGTTGTTTAACTTCCAAATTTTAGCAGTGTTTTTAATCATTGTCTTCAAAGGGTAATCTGATCAAAACGTTTATTTAATTGATTAATGATATTTCAGACACTTCATCGTCCATCGTAATGGCAAAAAGGGACTTAGAGGAGGAGCTGAAGAAACAACGCCGACTTTATTAAAATCTTATTTAAGATTCCAAAATTCATTATTAATATTTAAAATATTTACAATATTTAATTTCAAAAATCTTATTTTCTCAGAAATTCAAAAATTATCCGATTATGGACTCAGTTCTACTTACCCAAATTTCAAAAATGTTACATGGGGCTTTGGTCCACGGAAAAACGAGAAAAGTATGAGAAGGGGAAATATGAACAAGGGGTGGAGAAAGCCTTTAACTTTCCCCTTTGTTTTTACCGGGCGACATAAACAAAATCAATGAAAAATCAACATTATTTTCATTATTAAGTTATTTACTCATTTGTTTCCTCTTCATTTGCTCTTAATTTAAAAATCTTCTTTTTATGATCATTCAGGCCTAAATTTCACTCGATTAGATCCACTTTTATCCTAACAGTTTCAACCAAACTATCACATGGTCCCTTGATCCCTTGGATCAACCCTCATGTTTTGTTCAGATTTTGCTACGGAAATCAAAACGGATCTCTCTCTATCGGAAGAAAAGATAAAATACAATAAATAAGAGAAATTTGGATAAATTTTGAAAAAAAAAATGAAAGTTTAAGTATTAAAACAGATCAAAATTGATAATTTATGTACTAAATGCATAGTTCACCCGAGAAAATTCTATATGATGATTCATGCATGTTTTTCTCTCTACTTTCATCCCCTGTAAATGTGCGTCCTCTCTTGATAATCTTCAGAAACTGCAATGTCAGAGCTGGAAAGCGAATAAAACCCAACTTCGCTCATAGTTTTTCTTGATCTAATCCACTGCTGAGATTTCTTGCAATGCGCAATGGCCCCTTGAATGGGGCTCTCCATGTCTGCATTTACACTGTTGCTTCGTTTAAGAAACTGCAAATGCTGATATCCATTTGAAGCGTTCGAACTCGAAGATGATGATGATGAGGGAGATGAATGACGTTTGATGGCCACAGAACAAGATCTTCTATGGTGATTTCCATTGTCTTGATGAATCTGTACTTGCTCCAATGGGGCTTTCTTTTTGGATTTATTACCAATCATAGATCTGAGGTAAACCTTAGAATAAGCCCTCAGCATTGAACCAATGGAGGATTGCTTGATGAACTTAAGCCTTTTGGTCCAAGATCTCTTGGGTTGAACTTCACCATTTCTGCCATTAGCAACATCTCTTGAAGACTGAGAAGGTGAGATATAAGCTTCAGCTTCATTAATGGAGTTTTGCAGCAATTCTCGCACCATTTCAAGGCGAGGAGGAAGGTGAAGAGGGAGGAGTTTGCCCTTGTAGAAAAGGTCACGGCTGGTGAATTGGTGGGCTCTTTTCATGGAAACTGAAGACATTTGGAATTCAAACTCCCTTGTACTTATGGAGTTTGAATAATACGATGACAACTCCATGTCAATGTATTCATCGTCGTCTTCAAGGTTATCCGCCATTTTCCGGAAGCTTGGAGGCAATGGACATTGCAGTGCTGTTTAAATTACGATGCAAACAGGGTTTTTTTTTTTGTTAAAGTACATAAATTGTCCTTGACTATAGGGTGTTATTTTGATGAGTCTCTCGACTACTAAAAGTTACAAAGTGATCACTCGGGTATTCGTATATTCTAAACTCATCATTTTTCATTAAAAGATTGACGACAATCTAAGTTAGACGTTAAGCTACTGACTCAGATATGATAAAATCTGATCACAGAATCTCAAACGACTATCATGTCTCAATCAACATATTAACTTTCAGCTTAGATGACCATTAATTTTTTAGCGAAAAAGGACGAATTTGAAACATATGAATAGTTGGGTGATCGTTTTACAATTTTTAGTAGTCAGGGGACTCAATAAAACAATGTCTTATAGTCGGGGAACAATTTGTTTACTTTACCCTTTTTATACAAATAGAAACTGTTTGTCTTATTAAAAAATGTAATATACTAAATTGCAATAAAAGGTCTACAATTACAATCATAAGCGTAAACTAAATACATAATTAAACATTTTTTTCTTATAACTGAAATTAACCACTTGAGTTTATACAATGATCATACAAGAAAAAGGTTAAAAGTCCATCTAAAAAACTCAAACAAAAAATTGATACAAATAGATACGACTATGTCAACAAACGAACCACAACAAGAGATAAAACCATTAAAAATTACTTACAATCATAAATCAAAGTCGAGCATAGTGAGACAACTATCTCTGGACACAAGTAAAAGTTTTTTAGAATGAAAAAACAATTAAAATATTAAATTTGTAATGATATTTTTGTCTTTTTCGTTAATTTATATTATAATCTGTGGCTTTATAATAAAACTGATAAAACAAAAACATTATAGTATATAAAGTTCCCTTTTGCTACGGTTCACTTTTCATTTTATTTTCACTTTTTTACTGAATTCCAGGGCTTTATTTATTTTCTTGTATTCATTATTTTCCTGGGAAAATTCAATTCATCCACGATTTTTTCTCTCCTTGTCTCTTTAAAATTATCCATATCATTGGACGGTAGTGCATTTCTTAAATCATGTTTTTTTTTTATTATTCGGGATCCAAGGCTTTGCTTTAAATAATCTAAATTGACTTGTATCACACATATGACTTTGGTTGTTTTTGATAGATGAGTCTTCCAATAGAGATTTTCTGCATACACGAACTCGAACTCAAAACCTTACGTATGTGATATCAACACTACAACAAAAAAGAGCATTTGCGACGTTTTTTACCTATAACGGCGTTTTTAAGCGCCGCTAAAAACGCTTGCGGCGATATGAAAAACGCCGCAAGAAACACCGGGCAAACTAGCGCCGCTAAAGTTCATGGAGTTTGATAACAAAAAACGCCGCAATAGGTGAAGAGATATAGAGGCGTTTTTGAATAAACGCTGCAATAGGTGATGAGAACAAACGCCGCAAAAGATCGAAATATATAATGGCATTTTTTTTGGATACAAACGCCGCAAAATGTCTACATCTATAGTGGTGTTGTTTATAAATGCCACAAAAGGTTAAGATATTTATCGGCATTTTAGGGATAAAAACGCCGCAATAGGTCTGGTATATAACGATATTTTTTTATACAAACGCCGCAAAAGCTCTTGTATATAACGGCATTTTTCAGATAAACGCCGCAAAAGCTATGGTATATAGTAGCATTTTTTGATACAAAAACACTGCAGAATTGCTAAACATTTTGTGGCGTTTTTATGTAACACGCCGGTATTGTTTGTGTTATTTAGCGACTTTTGTTTTTACAAACGCCGCTAATGCACACAAAATTGACAACTAGTTATTTTTTTCTTCGATTACCCCAAATCTATTTTTTTTCAACCTGTTCCATTATCCAACAAACATTACATCTATAACAACAAACTCTATTTCCATAACAACCAACATCAAAACCATTATAGTAAATAAAAGTTTAAATTAACGTAATAATAATGCAGTTAAACATTGTTTAATAACATTAACAAAATATATAACATAATAAGACTAAGATGGTGGATTTTGAGGTTGCGTTTTCTGTATCATCTGCATCATAGCTTCTAGTGGATTTTCAAATTCTTTACATTTTTGCTGATATGATGCTTCTATCTTTTCTTCCGCTGCTTTCCTGGCTTCATTTTCAACTTTCATGTTAGCCATTTGTTGATCCATTTCAGCCAACTTTTGTTTTAAACGACTAACTTCTAATTGGGAAGACTGAGACTGGGATGACATGTACTGAGATGAACTGGATCCAAAATATTTGGCGGGAGTAACAAATAATCCTTGACAGCGAACCCGACCATATCTTTCAGGACCCAAAAAGTCATTAATAGCTTGATTTTCAATGTCATCCACATTAACAAGACCTTAACTCGAAGCCGTAGCTTCATACTCCGCCCTTTTTTCCCTCAATTTTTCCTAATAATAAAGTAAATAATTAATTAAAATAAAAATGGCATACTATAGATATAAATAAAACTTAATTCAAATCATCTATCCAATAAACGTACCATAATTTCTGCAGCTTCAGCAGTCATAGGAGTGCCATCTTTTTTTGTATGTGTTATGTCGAAGAGTTTGTTCGACCAACTTTAGAACCAGATGTATTTTCCTACAATGTAACATAATATAATTAATTTGAGTTAGTATGTACATGGAATACAAATAACTATATGAATAATCTATAATACCTCCTCATTAGCTAGACAAGCAAAGCTCTTCGATCCAGCCGTGTGCATAAACTTTTGTTGTTGCCTGCTAGCAACACCAACATGCTCTCGATCCTACAATTTCAAACAACCACTTATAAAGTCAATATTATAATTCGTTAAAATTATTTTTGAAAAATAAGTCATACCTGTACTTTTTGTGAACTCCAAAATATGACTGTATCTTCCCATTGATACATGTGCATTCCAGGTATGACAGTTTTTATCTTCTCTTCAAGACTGAGATCATTCTTTAAGTATTTCTTTTTTAATGAGCTATTGTGGTCTCTCCATCTCTTCCTTAAAGCTTGCTTCAAATAATCGTCAAAGACCTCTAAAGAAAATTTCTCCTATACAGCAAATAAGTGTTCAAAGTAAGTATAAATTACTATTGAATTATTATAGAGTATCTATTATAATGACATTATTACCTTAACAAAATACAAAGCCTGATTTTTGTTACTATTAGGCATTTCGCGCCATGACTCATAATTTATCGGTAAAAGATTAGAATTACGTCCAACTATGCCTAAGTAACTGGATAGAAGACGTGCTTCTGGGCCAATAGGTTGACCGACATCGTTTCTTGAAACTTTGACACGGTGCCCAGGAGGAAGTTGGTATAATTCCACTAACGTTATACATCCTCTAGTCTTGCGTGTTCCAGCATTTTCAACTATATAAGAAATTATTAAATGTCAGTTTTCAAAATAAACAAACTATTAAATTAAGTGTCAAACATTATCTTGAATTTCTATAGCTTTTTCAACAGTTATAGGAACTTCCGAAGAGTTAACAGCATTCGATTCCTCATTATTTGTTTGTTCATACTCTTTAGAAGCTCGAACAATCCGCAAATCACTTATTTTTTTCCTCGACGTCATATCTATAATAAACAAACAGCATTTTTAGTAAGAAAACAGTTTAATTAATGAATATATTGAAGGATAACATGTTAAAAGTTATAACATTATAAATAAATAAAGTAAGATATAAAATCTTAAGACATTCTTATGTAATATCAGTTGTCATAAATATCTTCATCAATTTCCACCTGAACCCATTGAAATTGTGTTGTATTAGTGATAGTTTCATCTAAATTTTGTGCTACTAGAGGTAAAGATTCTGATCTTGTTTCAATGTCATCTCTACTTCCATCCTCGATGTCTATCAAGTCTCTGGGGTATTACAGAGCACAACATACCAACTGTCATCCATTGGATCGTGATAGTAAAAAACTTATTTCACTTGATAAAAAAATACATATGTTTCATCCATCAATCGTTGACCAGTGTGAATTAATCGAGACAAATTCACCATTGTAAACCCAAATTTATCTCTTTTTATGCCTCGATTATTGTTTACATAAACCCAGTCACACCAAAACTGCACAACCTTTCGTTTTCCATAATAATCTAACTCAATAATGTCCGAAAGAATTCCATAATAATAACATCTCCCTCCTACGGATTATTGTCCCTGCCACTAGCATAACTTGTAGTTGAAGAAATAACTACGACTCCACAATTTTGTGCCCTCCTTAATCTTTCATGAGATTTCATGTGGAACCTGAACCCATTAATGAGGAAGGCATTATATCTTTTAATTATTCTATTCGGACCTTGAGAAAGCCATATAACATCTTTACTAACTTCTTTCACACTCCAAACCTATTACACATGAATGGTGAATTAATTTGCATTGATTTCTATATAAAAAGCAATACATATATTATTTATAAGTATGTGGAATGATTTAGTTGCTTACTGTCTGGCCTAACCATTCATGAAAAGTTTTTGTGAATAACTTATGTATCTCTCGCTGATGTAATCTTCGGGAGCATGCACGAGATCTCAAGACTTCTTTAAACTCACTATAAAGTATATTATGTCGTTAAAGAATGATAAATATAAAAGATTAAGAAATTTCATTAGTATTGGGTCCGAAAGACTTACGTACGAAATGGATCTATTGAATCGTGATGGAAAAGAACATATCGGTGTGCTTGTACCCAAGACGTGTCATCTAAGTGTGCAATTTTAACTTTCCCTAGTGGTTGACCATAACTTCCAAACAAATAATGTTGAGGTAAGTCATTAGTATTGAACACATCATTTCTATTTGGTCTATTCCATATTGTTTCAACATCTTCCAAATATATAGAGAAAAATGTCATACATTTGTCTGCCAAATACCCTTCAGGAATTGATCCTTCCGGATAACACTTATTAAGGCAGTAAGACTT